GGGGGGGGGGATAGTGAGATGGACGGCTCGTGTAGTCCAATGCTTGAAACGGGCCGCGTATGATACTGTAGTTTTCAGCGTAGTATACTACTGTAGTAAGGTAGTTTCCATGAGCGTGTGTCCGGTGGGGTTTCGTTCGTTGTGGTTGCGATTCGTATTGCGTCGCCCCCTTTTTCGCGCTGTCCGGTCCCCCCCGGACCAGGCAAAGAAGCTTCCGCCTTTGGGGTGTGGGAGGGAAAGAAGCTCGCGAATGTGGGCGTTTCGCGTAGAGACCAAGCGACGCGACCTGCCTGATGGTTTGTCTTGGTTTTCCTTCAAGAATGGTGGGGTGCTTCGTCGTGTTAGACCCCGATCTACCGAAGCACCGGTAGTTTGTAATTTGATGGCACAGCCGCATTATGTTGATGACCTGTTTGTTCTTTGCATGAATGTTGTATCTTGTGGCTCGGAGACGTCGTGTATATCCCGTGTCCGGAACGCGCGTGAGGTTCACGCACTTGCGTAGCGTCATGCGATTCGATATAAGGGCATCAATGGCGTTTCCAACGCTACTACGCTGGCAATCCCTCGTGCATTATGCCGCTCGCTGTTGTTGCTGAGGCGAGACTAGAGTGCATCTATAGCACTAACTGCTTTTATTTTGAGATGAGACCTGTTCAAGTGAGTTCAGGATCCATTGCGTGTACGATTGTACCCTGTTATTGGTTTCGTGGTCGTACGTCTATCTGTGTTTTGGTTGGTTGTTTTTTTTCAGCCGGCAGTATTTAAAGAATGCTCCGGTCGTAAAACGCCGCTGGGTTCCATTCACGGCATGCGTCAAACTACTGTGCGAGTCACGGTTTTAGGGTGGGGAGGGGGCAACCCAGCCAGCGTTCTGGTGTAGGTAAATCGTAACTTATGACAGACACCTCCGTCCACAGTGCGATAGGTTTTGTTGGGCCGTGCAGCCTGTAGTCTTGCAACAAACGCTCGCCGCCGACGTGACTGATATCGCACGGATGGGCGTATGACGAAGGCAGGCGAATGGTTGCACGAGTAGAGGTACTAATATCCCAGTGTTTTGTGGCTTCTGTGCTTGTCTGGGGTAGTGTGTGGAAAATAAATAATCCATCGATCGATCTGGTCCACACCCTTTAACAATTGTAGGCGTTAACCACCTCTTGAAGAGTTTGGTGCCTTTCTCTGTTTCCTCGTATTTTCAGCTGTCCACCCAAAAAGGGCAACCAGCACACGCACGGCCGTTTGTTGGTGTAGGGGGGGGG